TAACGGACGCACAATGCCTACGAAAAAAGTTCGCGAAAGCGAACGGCGCAGATGTGTCAAGGCCTGCAGGAATTGCAAGCGGCGCAAGGAGCGCTGCGATGGTCAGCAACCCTGCAGAAGATGCGTGATCCGCAGAGTTGGAGGTGACTGTGTCTTTGCCGGCCTACCGACGATTCCTGCGCAGGCCGACTCTTTATCTGCGAGAACTCCCAACTGTCTTGGTCTTCACGAAAGCCCAACCAGCCAAGACCTGTTCAACCCGTACGGACCGGCCGCCTCATTCCATGAAAGTAGCATTTCGACAAGCCATCGTCGAAGCGCTTCGCCACAAACCAGCCACCTCTCTCAGTCTGCTGTGGTACCGCAAGTGTCCAGACTCATAGCGGATGGAAAAGGCCGCCTCATGTTCATTGGCGATGCAGCCAACTTGGCTTTTTTGAAAACCATCCGCCGCCTAGTGCGAGACCGTGTAGGATCATGTTCTTTCACCGACGATCCCCTGCGCCATATAATGGTTGAGGCGACCCCAGAAGGACGTCCGAAATGGGTTATCACGAACCCGGCAGATATCCCGGCCAAGCCCAGTGATGAACAGGCGAAATACCTGCTTCTCTGGTATTTGCGAGCAAGCAATTGTATTCTTGACGTCTTTGACGAGGCGGCGCTTCAAAAGGATCTTGAAAACTGGTTGCGCGGAGAGCCCACCAGTCAGGACGAAGAGGCAATGAGCTGCATCTTCTTTCTTGTATTCAGTATCGGAGCACAACGCTGCCCTGAAGATCGAGATGCCGATGCTGAGAAATATTTTCATTACGGGCGGTTTCTGGCAGTCTCGTACGCCATGGAGAACCCGACATATAACACTGTGCGCAGCTACATTCTCATCACCGTCTACCTCCTCGGTGCATCGCGGCGAAACTCGGCTTTTATGCATTTGGGCGTCGCTGTCCGGGCCGCGTATACGCTAGGTATTCACCGGAAAGAAAATCTAGCGCTATTTTCGGCGCAGGAGAGAGAGACTCGGGAGCGGTTATGGAGAGCCCTTCGTGTCCTCGACTTATTCTTGAGCGCCTCACTGGGTCGCCCACTGGCCACCTCTGAGACCCGTGATACGGGGGGCACCGAGGATTATTCGGCTTTACTGGACCTCTGCGCCATCCTTGAGTCCATTCTCAACGACGTCTACGCCAAGCGCATGGTGTCGACCGATGCTCTGGAACGAATCAGTGAGCAACATCGCCGCTGGGCCACGAAGTTCAGCGATTGCCTTGCTGCTGATGGTGTAAACCCGAACGGCTCCGTCGACGTAGAAGACGGAAAAAAGCATCCCAACATGAGGCTTTACTATATGAAGGAAGCCTACTATTGGAGTATCATGCTCTTATCACGGCCTTTTCTAATCGACTTTGTTTCGAGAAACATTGCGCGATCCCAGACACCATCGATGTCGAGTGATGACAAACCATTTCACTCATCACCGTCGGATCAGCTTCTTGTGCATGCTTGCGTGGACTCGGCAATCCGCGCCATCGAACTTTTGGCCGGTCTCATCCCAGATAAGGACGTTGCTAAACGACACCCCTTCCTGATTAACTCTGTATTTGTATCGTCGTTAGTCCTTGGGCTAGCAGTTTTCGGTGACTTGGACAGCACATTTCCCCTGGATCATGGTTTGAAGGACGCGCAGGCGCTTCTACGCAACTTCAGCAGACATGACCCTGTTGCAAATAGGGAACTCTCAATCGTGGAGCACCTTCAGAGCGCTTGCGTGCTGCATAGGGAGAGAAAAGTCCGAAAAAATATGGAGTTTCAAAGAATGCTCGTTGGCGAGCTGTTTGGTACCATTCAGGAAGGAACAGAATCATCCAGAGTTGAGTCAAGCCTCTTCCCTCGAGCCAATGGAAACTTCAGGGACACAAGGACTGCCAACTCGGACGTGGGAGAGACTAGCAGCATGGATCAAAGTGTCTCGCTGACGACTGGAAGTACGGCTGAACCGCACGCTACTGGCAGTGAAGCTTGTCGAGGGTTAAACGCGGTCCAGGCGCTCACGCCTTCGACAGATATCTTGCTACCGATGTCGCCAAGAACCCTGCTCTTCGACTCTTATAGCCAAGATATGCCCTTCTTCCCCACCATGGATGCTAGCATGGCGCATCTAACTTACCCGGATGATATGATGCTGTCCGACACGGGCGCTTTGTTGGAACCCCCATGCTAGAAACACATAGCTACAGTAAGAAGTGCATGATCTCGGTAGTGAACGAGCCATCTGGAAAATCTATCGACTACGACGTGAAAACCTTCCGGTATTGTGTTCAGTTGTGGAAAGACTGAGAAATTCTTTGGACTGCACACGTTATGATTCTTTGCTCTAAGCCCATAGTTGCTGCAACTTGGCAACAACCATATCGCCTCTTTCACTGAAAGTAATTCAAATCATTCCAGAAAATGTGGTTGGTTTGCTGGGGGTATGCCAACTTGCGTGTTGTCTGATATGTTGGCAGGTTTCGCCGAAATAGCTCGAAAATTGAAACGCTAATAGAACAAAGTTCAACCTTTAGCTTTCATATTGCCATAAACAGAATCAGGTCCCTGGCCTTCTGGCGTACTGGACGCAACATAAACAAGTAGACGGATTGCTTCGTCGGACTGCATCTGGTTTTGGCAGGTAGTATCGATTGGCAGCGTAGCCGCATCCTATATTGAGCTGATCTAACCCAGGGTAATAACTATTCATAGGTTCAGAGAGACAAAGTTACGTAAATAATGATATTTGACATCGGTTCCCCTCGGCCTCCCTGGTACCCCACAGTCGAGTGCATCGTTAGATGGCCACCGCCCGATAGGGCTTATAGGCTGCCCAATCCCGAAGTGCCCTACCCGCGACCCGAAAGGCCGCGCCGTGCGAAGGTTTCCGGGCACATTTATATCATCCGATGATCATCAATACAATTTTTCCATGACGTAATAGCCCATTTTGAAACGGCTCTACACAGTTAGACCTCGGGAGAGGGATGGTATGTAGGAAGCAGTCATCCAGAGCGTAATGGTGTCATCCGAATTGTCGTTCGAGAACCCGTGCAGGACTGTGCCGTATTGCCGCGCCTATAACCTACCTCCTGCAACTATTCATTTATATAATTCTCCGGCATTTTGTTTTTTTGTTTTCGTATGCCAATCTAAGAATCGCAGGATTGGAAATAGGTAGTTGGCACTGTTTCACTAAGCCGCCAAAAAGCGTTGTTAAAGTTTCACTCAAGTACTATCTTTGAACTTTCTTACTTACCGCACATTTCCTCTCTCGCTCCAAATCTCTCAAGATGACACCGCCGCCAGAATTTTGTCAGCGTCCGGACAAGTCTTTTCATGTGGCAGTGGTTGGGGGCGGCATCGCCGGTCTAACGCTGACCCTTCAGCTACTCCAGAAGCGAATACCGACGACGCTGTACGAGCAAGCCGCGAAGTTTGGCGAGATCGGTGCGGGCGTGTCTTTCGGTCCAAATGCCCTCAGAGCCATGTCCCTAATCTCACCGCACGTACGGCAAGCCTTCGAGAACCAAGCGACGAGAAACCAATCAGAGGACCACCAGAACGTATGGTTTGACTTCAGATACGGCGAGACCTGCGGAGGCAAGCACCGCGAAGGCGAATTCATTCACCGTCTGATCTGCGAGACTGGCCAGACCGGCATTCACCGAGCGCACTTTCTCGATGAGCTGGTCAAGCTACTGCCTGACGGGGTTGCGCAATTCGGCAAACGGGCGGTGGACTACGAAGACGACGGCACGCGCGTATTGCTCAAGTTCCAAGACGGCACTACCGCTACACATGACGCAGTGGTTGCCTGCGATGGCATCAAGTCAAGGCTGCGGCGCGTGATGCTCGGCGATGATCACCCCGCCTCGAAGGCCGTCTTCTCCGGAAAGTACGCATACCGCGGCCTCATCCCTATGAAGGAAGCGGAAGAGCTCTTGGGCGAAGAACTTGCCAAAAACAGCCAGATGTACTTCGGAAGACACGGCCACATACTGACGTTTTCCGTCGCGAAGGGCAAGATCATGAACGGTGAGTGACACGAGGGTTCCTGTTCTGACCGACATAGGGCACTAACGATGGCAGTGGTTGCTTTCCACAGTGCTGAAAAGTGGGAATCGGATGAATGGGTCATGTCGGTCAAAAAGGAGGATATGGTCAAAGACTTCGAAGGCTGGGGCGACAAATCCCAAAAGATTATCCAGATGTTGCAGAAACCTGACGTGTGGGCGCTTTTCGACCACCCGCCGAGCCCGACGTACTATCAAGGACGAGTTTGCCTGCTAGGCGATGCCGCCCATGCCTCGACGCCGCACAAGGGCTCAGGCGCAGGTATGGCAGTTGAAGACGCCTACATTCTCGGAAACCTGCTGGCGCTGATTAACGGCTCCGAGGAAATTGAGATGGCGTTTGCCACGTACAACAAGACGAGAAAGGAAAGGTCGCAGAAGCTAGTGGTCGACAGCCGGGAGCAGGGGAAGCTGTATGATTTGGAGCTGAAGGACGATCCCGAGTGGATTGCACACCGCTTATCAACTCACATGGACTGGGTCTGGAAATATGACTTAACTGAAGAGCTGGAGCGAGGTCGTCGAGAGATCGAGAAGTGTCGGAACGATTCGTCGGAGAGAGCTCAACTGTAAATGTACGGGGAGAAACAAGCAAGGCGTGGCAGTATTTCGCAACTACTCGTCTGTAACGAGGGTTGATTTTGCGGCTAGTATGCTACAAGAATTACAGGTATGTTGTCGTCAGCTGATAAATACCAGCCAACTACGAAAGCAAGCCGAGGAGAATACAAGTTCTTTTCAAAATCGACTTTACGACAGGAGCTTCAGAGATATAAGGCAAAATAATATGTAAAACCACGGGCGGACGGTCGGGCAACTGCCCTAGCACGATAACATGTAGTCATCCAACTCGGAGGCACGCCAGCAGCTCACCTCAACACGAGCATTTCTCTCGCCCTGGTGGTCTAGCGGTATGATTCTTCCTTAGGGTTGTCGCAAGATATATCCACCTGGAAGAGGTCCCAGGTTCGATCCCTGGCCAGGGCCTAAACCTTTTGTTTTTCCCCAGGCAGTGGAGCCCTATCTTTTTTTTCCTCCTTTTCCTTTTGGCAACGTATGGTTTCGCTTTTTTGCGAGTATGTGGTGACGGACGCTGTTAGTTTGCTATAGAAGCGGTATGTTATTGCTGTATATGATGACTTATGCCCGCTTGAGGCTAGAGTTTAGAATTCTGAAGTATGTATAATTCCGGTAAGTAGGCCTCGATTTACAGAATTGCAGATACACAAAAGAAAGACGAAGATCACAGTAGCTAGGGAGGCGTATTGAGGAATTACGAAACCCGGTCAACTTGAGATCTGCCCAGTTCTGTGCTAGAGCAAAGTGCTGGGTGTCACTTGCAAAGAAACCGCATTTCGGGAATATTTTTCGTTGAGCATAACTTAGCGAATCATCATAATCATGGGGTATCGTATCTATGTCTATGCTCTAAGGCAATCAGCAGGCTATCTCCGGAGCAGTAAGCTCAAGTGCCGGCAACCTGCAAGAGTTACAAGACTCCACCGGAACTTGACAGCCATCGTATAGCCCACCCGTTTTCACGTGTGAGTGAACAGCGGGTTGTCCTCCGGGCTCGTCCCGGGTTGCTCTTATGGGTCAAATAACCCAACTTGAGCCCACCCGTCAATACTAATCAGAAGTTATGTACGTTTTTTCCAATCCCAACCACTGGCCATGCCTCTCGAAAATGCGATCATGGCACTCCCTAATGCAAGACAAACACCAGACCAAATCCAGGCGCTAGAGAACCCGGCCGAGCGCACCAAAGCACCTCCAACCGGCGATCCGAACAACAAGGCAATAGACATGACAGAGTAAGCCATGCCGAGCCGAGTGCCAATGTAGTTGCGGTCTTCGGTGAGCTTGGTAAAAGTGGCCGGTTGGAGAGCGAAAAAGCTCCCGCTACTGAAGCCGTAGAAAACGAGAGTCACAACCAAACCAGCGGTGTGTTGGACTGCCATGAGGCAGAGCGCCGAAACTGACATGATGAACACCGCGGCGATGAGAAGGTTCATCCCCCCGAGCCGTTGGGCAAAGAGATTGGGAATTATGCGCCCCATGATGGACCCCGCGTTCATGATGGCCAGCAGGTACTTGTCAACCTGAGAGCTCACGGCGCCCCGCTGGAGCGCAAAGCCTTGGATGTAGACGAACGGAGTGTACATGCCCAGGAACACCAGGCAGCAAGCAGCCACGAAGAGGAGGTAAGGAACATCGCTGAAGGCGGAACGGTCAATCCAGGCACGCCTCTGGCGCGAAGCTTTGGGCGTGTGCATGCTGACGATGGACACGCCTTGAATGGCCAACGAGACCAATGCCATGGTGCGGACTGTCCAAGCGAAGCCGATTTCGGGCTGAAGGGATCGAAATATGATAGGCATTACCAGACTATAGAGGAGAGGGATGAGTTATTATCAGCTGATATGGGTGGCGAATTTCTCTCAAGCAAATCCTTGATGCGAGTAAGACTTACCCACCAACACCGCTTCCCGCCGCTGCGACGCCAAAGGCCACGGGCAGTCTGGTAGAGAACCACGGCGATAGTACCGCAACTCCCAGCACAGCCAGGCTGCCCATTCCGATTCCGATGCAGAGCCCCTGCGACAGGAGCAGCTGCCAAAGGGTGCTGCTGAAGCTCTGGGCGACGGTCCCGACGACGATCAGCAGGGACCCGACCCAGAGCAGCTCACGCGCATAGCCCAGGTCAAAGATGGGGCCAGCGAAGCAACCCAGAAACACCATGAGGAAGCTCTGCAAAGAGCCAATTGTGGAAATGGCGAACGGGCTGTACTCTTCGAGCAGGTCGGCTTCATAGTGAGCCTGGAAAACGCCGAAACTGGCGACGAGGCCTAGAAAGCGCGTGTCAGTGCCTAACCAAAGTAGTCATCAAGTGCACCGAGAGTTGTAAAGCATGTATAGCAAGTATAACTTAAACATAGAAAATGAAAAGGGTGGTGTTGGATTGGGGTATGGGTCATGGTGTGACAGAAGTATATCCACTCACCCCAGGTATTGAAGTAAATGCAAAAAGACGCCAGGACCTGCAGCCAAGCCCGTAAGCCACCATTCGGGGGCGCCGTCAGCTTCCCGGGGGTCGCGCGCGGCCGTACGAGATCGTCGGCGCCGGCGCCGCTCTCCTCATCAGTCCCCGGCGAGAGACTCGGGGTCTCCCCGTCGAACTCGAGTCTGCCGTCGTCATCGTGCCCGGGCGACTTTTCCATATCCGCTAAGGACGGCATCGCTTTCAGCGCAGCGCAACAAGGCTCAAAAGGTAGAGTTGCATCGATGACAACCTTGTCTTCTCGAATTGCCTAGTGTTCTTCTCGGCTCAAGGTGAGTCTCGGGATGCTATATGTCGCCCCTCGTTCCGGTGCCTTTTTCTGGGAAGATTCGCGTGCTATGACGCGAGACCCTCTTCGTTCAACCAATGAATAGAAACCCTAAGGAGGGTGAATGTGTAAATGTTGATCACCGAGCGACAGTGCGGGACACACAGGGAAGTCAAAAGTAAGATATCACCGCTTTCTCTTTTTGTTGTTTTATACGTTTTCCTTCCCTCAAGCTAATGGAAATCTTAAAAAGACAATAATTAGCACAATGGTTTGTTAAATATCAACAAGGAGTATTTCTTCATGGGCTCTGGGACAACAGAAGGCGCCTGGGCCTCCTCGCCGGGTGCTCGGGTTGAGGTGGTCGCCGTCGCGGGTGTCGCAGGCCATGTTACAAAGTACAGATGGCCCCAAAACGACGTATTCAATGCGATGCAACGACTGAGTAAAACACACCAATCTGGACTATCAACTTCTCTCAACTGACGTACCAATTGTGGCAATCGATTCTGTTGGTCGGGATAGGAAAGTTGCCGCTATTGTTTGGCCTGGGTTTCCAATATCTCGCAAACCAGACGGATATGTATGCGCCTGGGGAGAGAAAACCGGCAGTAACCAATGAGGTTAGAGAGAATCAACTGGCGTTTAGACCGTACGTAGCACAGAAAAAGAGCTGAAGAGCCGCAAAGAGTCGGGTTCGGAGAGGCATTCATCACATCTTCACATATGGCATTTTGGGCGGAATGCCCTCGGGTAGAAGTGGCCGTCGCGGGCAGGGTCACGTCCGTGGGCTCGTCTGACGCATCTCGGACCTCGTCTGGAATCTGGGGTTGCCATCGGTCTTTGAGTATTTGAGGCTCGTCGAAACCTCGGAGTAGTGGATTCGGCGACTGATATGTCGAGAGCCATAGCGGTTAGTCTATATGGGGCGGCGGACGAAGGACTGCTCGTTTTGACCGGCTCGGCCAGAGTCCGTCGCATGGCGGTGGGGACTCTTTGTCTTCTGGATCCATCCTTTTGTTATCCAATGCCGAAATTCTCGTGGGTTTGCCCTGATAACGAGTTTGCTCTGATAACAATACCGAAATACACCGCCCCCTTCGACCTCTTGGCATGGAGATCAAAAATTGGAGTCCCACGATGATTATCGGATTGAATTCGTGACGAGGTGGGAACAAAGTAAGCGGCACGCCGTAACTTTCCGCAGATTGCGCTGTCGAGGCAGGCCAAGAGTTTGGGAAAAATTTGGAATGCGCATGCTTCTCCATATACATCTACTACGCAGCAGAGGGAAAAGTTGATTGGCGCAACCTTATTCTACAGGTTTCATCCCATCGTAAGATGTACCATCCTGTCAAGCGAACAACTGTTGGCGGATACGCCTTGAGGGACTTGTGGAAACCTGATACGACGGGGGGATCGTGTGAAAGCCGAAAGATACGGCACCTATATATGCAGGACGTCAAGGACAGGCCGATTTAGCGTTAGATAAAGTTTTGCAGGATTCCTGGGCTGACCGTGCCATAGTAAGATGAGATGGTGCTCGGGTTGCCGTTGCAGTATCCACTCTTCTCTGGAAACCAGTCGGGTTGGAGTGGGTGAGTGATCATGTTTGTTTGTAAGTGATTAAATTGTAGTACAGTAGTAGCCTGGGAATAGTTAGATCTAGACCTAGTAGAAGTAAAATGTGGCTTAGAACTGTTCTTCGTCTCTTGCCCTCCCCAAGGTGACAAAAGAAGTGAGAGTGATTTCCCCGGCCGGATTTGAACCGACATTTTTGCCTATAGCAGACGCCCGCTGCATGATAACGGCCCATGTGCATCGTAACATCATTGCAACAGGAACCATGGGAGCTCAGATCAAGGCTTGCGCTATAATTGGCTGATGGCAAAGCTAGACAGGCCAGCCATACTTGGTGTGGGATAACTGTCAATTTTTTCTGGAAATTGAGATCCTCACTCGTACACGCTTGGATTAACATTTAGCACCATTCACTCCCCCCATGGTTCCGTACTATATCCCTCTCACAACCTGACTGTTGGAATGCCAAGACAGACAAGCCGCCCTTTACGACCGCGTCAAGTAAGACAGGTAGTCCAGCCACCCTTCGCCGTGGCCAACGTAGCCAATATACATGTCTGGCCTGATGATGACGGTAAAGTCATCCTCTTCGGCCGCCCAGTCGGCCGTGAAGGACTCTGTCGCTGAAGACTCGTCGAGCCCCGTCCCTCGAGTCGCCGTCGCCTCGCGCGGAGCAATTTGGAAGAGCCGGGTCAGATCCTGGAGATCGCGCGGCAGAGCAAGGCCGTCAGCCTGTCGGCCAATCTTGAGCACCAGATGCTGACCGTACTTGCTCGAGAGGAGGTCGTACAGACGTCTAGGCTCCTTTTCGGTCGCGGGCGTCAGGTAGAGGTCCGGGCAGCGCCGGCCAGCGGTCCAGATGCCTCGGGACGATTCCCGGATCAGGGGCGAGCCCATGCCATTGTACGCTACGCCCATGCCTTGGGGAAAGGGAAAGAAAGCAGAGATTAGCTAACGTCTTTTGCCTTCACGCTTTCCGAAATTATGGAGCGTGGAGACGTGGAGGATGGGTTTTTGCGTGCATGAACACACACAGTTCATCCCGTTTTCTTCACGTCCCACCCCACCTCCTCGCCC